TGTTAAATCAAAATATGTATTAATTATTATTCAAAATAAAAACAAGTAATCTGATCATGGAGCAAGGATGGCAAATCAATAGTTCCCATTCTTATTTAGAATGGTGAGCATTTCTTTCTCGTAAAAAGCATTACAATAAAATACTCTTATGTTAAACACTAGTAGTAGGGGCTGATATATTTATAATAAAAAAAACACTAGTATTAGGGATAGAAAGGGGTATGTTTGGTTTGAAGAGTGGGAAGAGGAGTGGATGGAATTTTTCTATTTAATTACTAAAAAAATTAGAAGAAATGGGAGGAGAAAAAAGTCTTTTTCTTAATTATTATTTGTTTTTAATTCCTTCAAACTTTTTAATTTACTGAAATAGGGGGACGGGCGGAATAAGAGGGAAATTAAAGGTCTCCTCCTATTCTCACCGTTTTATTCAAACTAAATATACCACTAGTTTTTAGAAAAAAATATGTTTATATAGGAACAATATATAAAATATTAATTTATCAATAATAGAGGAGGGGCAATTCTTTTATTTAGTTAAAAAAGATAACATATAGACAGAAGAGTTCCAACTCAAAATAAAAATAAGAAAGAAAAAGAAAAGAAATGAAAAGAGTAGTTATTAAATTTTTAATACAATTTCAATTCCCAAAGATTAGGAAGGTTTCGTTAGTGTTCTCTATATAATCCGTCAAATAATAATTTTGTTTCTCCAGCACATGACATATATATTTCTTTAATTCTAACTTTGCTTAAATGGAATTTTAAAGGATGGTTCAATCTATATATATATAAAATGCTACCCTATGCATTAAATAGGGTAAGCATTTTACATTTACTTTTTGTTCTTATTTGGGACTTTATTGCATCTTCTTAAACAGTTATTTTTTTTAGAATTTATGGTTGCACAATAAGCAATAAATTATGATTGTTATGATAAACAACAAATTTATTAATAAAAATTAACTGAAAATAGTTTACATATACCTTTTGTTTTTATTCAGGACGTTATTGCATCTTCTTGAACAGTTATTTTTTTTAGAATTTATGGCTGCACAATAAGCAATAAATTATGATTGTTATGATAAATAACAAAT